CTCCAGGTTTCCTGGAGCCGCTTTAGGCACTTGGAGCTGCTCTGTCTCCCCTTAAGGAGCCTTTTCCAGGCGTTTTTACAGGTGGATACAGTCATAAGAGACAATATTTGTGAATGTTCATTTACATTTAAATCATCCATTCAAATTCTCAAGCCCACCTTCTCCCCTATGGAAGATAAACATGATCTCAGGCCATATTCCCTTTGTGTGCAGTGGTTGCTGTGGTTTTGTCTATTGAGTCACTTCAGTTGGGTTTGTTCTGGCAGGGTTTTGAGGAATTGCCCTTTTAGTAGCATTAATGCTGGGAGTTCAGTTCTGTAACGCAAGTGAGTTGCTCTGTGGAGGAGATTCGGTGTGGACGTGGAATCAGCCCAGTTTGTGTGGGTAGACAATCAACTCAGACACTCACTCCCCAGAAGCCTGGGACATCTCTTGCATTGTGTCACTGTATGATGAAGAGTAACAGGCTTTTCTTTTTGTAGGATGGATACTCTGAGCTGTCGGCTTATGAGAGGAAAAGGCTGAAGAACATCACAGAAAATGCCAAGTTCTTCGCTGCTTTGAAGCTGCACAAGGTTTGTACAGATTCCAAGCAGCATCTAAACGTGCTCTCCAAGTGTGATGATGGGACTGTCATCCCTCTTGCCGTGAAGCCCTTCCCTCGCAGTGGTGATGTGTGAGGAGAGCCACGGAAACATCCTGAGACATCAGGCCTGTCCTGACTGGGTAGAACAAGAGGGTTGTGCTGCTGGTTTGCTTTGCTCAGGAGGGGAGGTGAAACTCACAACAAGTGGAGAATGCAGCACGCTGCTCATGTGGTATTTGTACCAGCCACAGTGCCTGTGGTCACAGAGCTGTGGAGCCCCTGTGTCCAGCCTGCCCCCAGGGATGGGGCAGCCACAGCTTCTCTGGGCACCCTGTGCCAGTGCCTCAGCACCCTCACAGGGAAGAGCTTCTGCCTCAGAGCTCATCTCAGTCTCCCCTCTGGCAGGTTCAAGCCATTGCCCTTGTCCTGTCCCTCCATCCCTTGTCCAAAGCCCCTCTCCAGGTTTCCTGGAGCCCCTTTAGGCCCTGGAGCTGCTCTAAGGTGTCCCCTTGAGGAGCCTTCTCTTCTCCAGCTGCCCCAGCCCAGCTCTCTCAGCCTGGCTCCAGAGCAGAGCTGCTCCAGCCCTCGCAGCAGCTCCGGGGCCTCCTCTGGACATGTTCTGCAGCAGGACGGTGGTTTTGCAGCCAGTGCAGAGTTGGATTGTATTTTATACAGGCTCATCTGTTATGCTTGTTAAAATCTTTCTTTTTTTTTCTCTTGAAGTCAGCTGCAAGACTTCAACAGATGGCAAATAAGAGACAGTCTCACACCACCAAAAGGTAAAATAACTGTTTATGAGATTTGTATCCCTGTTCCTTCATTGTGTGTTAGCTGCTTCAGCACTTCCATCTGCACGTACCTGATGCTGCAAAGAGAGAGAGCTGGTGAGGAGCCTCTCACTAAAGCTAAATCAGAATAACTAATGATCTTAAGCTGTCTGAGTTGATGAGCAGCAGCTGCTGTGGGTAGTGCCTCTCCTCAGCTCTCCTTCGGGGAGAAAATGACACTATCTTTTTGTCAAATTGCAGAATTTGGTTTATTTGTGAAGGATGGGGAAAGGTGTGGGAAAGAAAGAGAGGGGAGGAACTAGATGCAAGGGATGGGGTAACCGGCTGCTGTCAAAGGAAGGGCATTTGGCAGGGCCAAAGCAGTGCCAGGCAAAGCAAGACAATGAGCTTACATCCAAATAAAGAATAAGATACATGATGGAAGAAAGTGGGAAAAGATGACTGGGTCAGTGAGTGGGTTGAGTTATAAATGAGGAGGGCTGGGAATAGGAGTGACCGTGGCTGGATGTATTACAAGTGAGATAAAGCAGCAGCACATCTGTGTGCATTGCAAAGTGCTCGTTTGCTGCTGTCACTGAGGCAGAAGCAGTCGCAGCCCCCCTGCAGTGAATCAGAACGGGGCAGGTTGGGCTGAGCCAGGGTGTTGGAGCTTCACATTGGAACCTGCTCCAGAGCCTCGTACTTAACACAGAGCATTTATTTAACTGTGTGATTTTGGAATGTTCTCATTATCCTAGAGTGAAGCCTAAGAAGGCAGAAGATGAAACAGTGCGGCGAAGATCCATGCGCTTACAGAGAATTGATCCGTCAGGAATTCCATTGGCAGAGATGCCTGCCCAGCCTGAAGCAGAGGAATATGTAAAATGGGTAAGGGTTGGAGGAGACGTGTGTGCACACAGCAGCTTTATGAAAACAGTGCTGATGAAGCTGACTGTTAATCCTTGTCGTTGCTGAGCTTGTTGTAAGCACCACTGGGCAATGGGAAGGTGCGTTATGCGGTGGCAATCATCAAAGGTCAATTCTTTCCCCCTCAGGCATCCTGAATAGCAGGATTCGGTGTCCTCTCTGGAAGTCAGTCACAATGCTGATGAAATAGGGCAGGTTTGGGTGGCGTCAGGGTCCAACTGGATAAAAACCCGGTGTTGGAAGTACTTTCTTTGTGCTGCAGTGGGTCAGTTGGGTTATGATATAAAGATAGAAAGATGATTACTATAAAAAAGAACGAAAGGACAGATGGGAAAAAGGATAGGATTTAAGCAAGAATTTGGAGTGCAGGGAGAGAGAGAGTCACCACCATGGATCCAGTGGTGTCCCCAGGGTCCGTAGTCATTGCTTTAGTGGTGGGTGTCCCAAAGGGTCCAGCTGAATCTGTCATACGGTTCTTGGAGACCAGCCTTGCTGGGGTATGGAAAGGAGAGGAAACCTCCAGGGCAGCTGATTCTCTTTGCTGTTGTGTTCAGTGAAGTTCTTATTTTTTTAGTAAGATTGTGATACAAACTTCTTTATGTTTATTTCTTGTACTACCATAGATGTGTTCTCAGAGTGTCTGGTGTGTGGAAAATAGTAATTCCCCCTGTTCTGGTTTTGAGTGATGAAAATTGCTGATGTCATTCCAGCCTCAGGTGCCAGCCGGACCTTTGCCAATGATTCCAGAAGATCAGGTGGAGAACAGCAAATTGACAGATGACCTGTTGGCTACATGGATGAGGATAAGTGAGGTACTATTAGTTATAGTGAGTTAATTTTGGATAATGTAATGAAGCTTGGGCTCTAATTCTCATATTTCCTTTCTACCTGTAGGTGAAAGATCATGGTACTGAAAAGCTCACAAGTGACATGAAAAGGTAACCTGAGGACAGCAGCTAAAGCTGAGTATTGCCTTGTTCTTCTTTCTCCTCTTGAGTAGCTGTTTCTGTGATGTTGTCTAGATACCAGGACAGCCTGAACAGCATGATGCTTGGTGAAGACAGCATTAAAAAGGTGGTGAAACACCGAGTGTGTTCCATGGCTATCCATCCTTCGGAAAGCATCATTTTGGTGGCAGCTGGAGACAAGTGTGGGCAGATCGGTCTCTGGAATGTGGTGAGTTGCTTGTGTGTTCTTTACATGCCAGAGCTGTTTGCTGCGGGATGGGTGCGGACGGGGCATAGCCTGGAGCGTCCTTTTGGCAGGCTTATGGTTCCCCATTCCTATGGATAACACCAAAATCTCCCCTCTGCCAGTTTAAAGCCATTCCCCCTTGTCCTGTCACTACATCCCCACAACACACTGCACGTGTCCCCGCACATCGGGCACCCTGCTGCCTCCTCCACTGCTGTTACCTGGAGCAGATTGGAGAACCTTTGGGGAACAGAGGCTTTACTTTGGAAGCTGCAGTAACGAATAGAAATAGCACCGTGATTATCAGCCTTGTCCGCTGGATCTCACTGTGTTTCAGAGCTGCGGGGCTGAAGAAGGAGCACATGTCTTCACGGCACACAATCACCTAGTCAGCTGCATGCATTTTTCTCCATTCAATCCCGCTCACTTGCTGTCTCTGAGCAATGAAAGCCTGCGATGTGGTGATGTTACTAGAGCTGTCTTTGATGAGGTGAGTGCTCCCTTGGCCATGCTGTGGCTCCTTGGAAACCTGGTATGTTCTGCTGTGAAGTTTTAGTCTCGTCACACCTGAGTTGTTGGTTGTTGGTTGTTTTGTTAATGAGGAAGTTCAGGATTCCATTTCCACAAGGACACGTGCAGTAACCCTTAATTAATGTCATAAAAATACAGAGATGCTTCCTGCTCAATAAAACCTAGTCACAGCTCGGGTACTCCCAGTTTCCTTCCTGCAGAGACAGTCCAAGTACTGAATCTAATTTCCTATCTCTACTTAGGCAACGTGTGCCTCTTTCTGAAGCATTACCTTTTAATGATGACAAACGAGAGCGAGTTAAAGACCTAAATCTTACACACAGAAAAAGCAAATCCAGCCCAAATAAACATTGTAAAACAACAGAAAGCATGAGCTGACTTCTCAGCCTTCAGGAGAGTAAACGGCTGTGCCTGTCTCTGGTGAGGCAGGCAGCTGAACTGGCTTTGCGAGGCTCTGTTGGCTTGTTTCTGACAGATGCAGCTGCACTGATCACCTCTCCAACACTGGGAAATACAACAGGCTCCAGCAGTTTAAAGCTTTTCCCTCTGTCCTTTACAGGCACTGTAATTTTGGGGCTGCAGGCAGGCCTACTGCTTGGGAATAATCTGCAGTTAGTTGCTCAGGAGGGTGCAGGGGGCTTACTCTTTGAGACAGAGGCTTAAAGAATGTGCCTCTAGAGGTTAAGGGCAGAGAAATGCTGTTCTCCAGCTCCGTTTACCTTTGCTTAAAGAGGTGCTGGTGCCCTGTGAGTTCTAGCAGAGAATTTGGAGCGCGTTGTTGCCGGTTGGGTTTGGGTAGTTAATTATCTGCTCTGTGGGAAACACACCAGTTTTACAGGGAGGTTACCCACGTGCATAGCTAAGTCTGGGGCTATCAAATTAGGTGGTCTTCATTAGTGGTTTTAAGTATATTAAAAAAGGAAAGCATGACATCTACAGCCCATAGCGTGGTTTGGGTATTAGGGATAACTCTGTGTATTTTGTTGAATGGTTTTGGTTAGATTTGGCCTTTCCTGTGCTCAGATCTGCAGAAGTGAAGACGATGAAGTCACCCTGTCTTCCTTTGACTTTCTGGATAATAACGCCTCCACTGCAGTAGTAGGATACTGGGATGGCAACGTCTCTGTTGTGGACAGGCGGACCCCTGGGACGTCTCCAGAGCTCTCTGCAGACATTGGCTTCAAAAGAACAAGGACAGTCCACGTTCACCCCGTGAATAAGCAGTATTTCATTGCTGCTGGCTCCATGTATGTAGCTCCAAAGGAGCCATGATTATGCTGTGCTTTCAGTGCTCTATCTGCTTTGGTGTCTGAAGTGTGGTGTGTGTGGACGGCAGGAACAGCAGATGAAGAGGCAGCCAATTTGTCAGCCTTTACTCTTGAACTTTTAGAAAACAAGTTTTTAGTTGCCAGCAGGATTTAAAAGTGGGATTCACTTTGACTTCCTTTTGGTAATGGGTACAAAGTGGTGCTTTGAATCACTGTGGGGTTTGTCAGATCATGGTGCTGAGGGATTTTAATGAGCTGCTGGTTTGGGCTGGCTTTGGTGCTCTCAAGCCCTTTGCAGGCACTGCCTGTTTGAGTGGAGCTGCGGAAGCACAGCTCCACACAGAGCTCAGGAAAGCTGCGGGGTCTGCAGCGGGTTGGGGTAAATGGAGGCTGAGGACAATTGGGCTGTGCCCTGCTGAAGTGCTGTCTGTGATCTGCTGCAGGGATGTTTGTATTTATGACATTCGGTACCTGAAGGCAAACCAGAGCAAGCCCGTGAGCAGCCTGAGAGGACACACCAAGAGTGTCGCTTCTGCCTATTTCTCCCCTGTCACTGGGAGCAGGGTGGTGACGGTGTGTGCCGACAACAAGCTGAGGTGAGCGGAGCATGAAGGAGTAACCTCTATGCAATATGGCAGCTGGTGCTTTATTACTGTTATCTCCTACCTGCATTACCCATCATGGAGAGCTCTCTGTCTGTATCACTCCTTTAAAAAGTGGTACTTACTTGCACTGCCATTTAAATGTTAGTTTTATTTTTTTCCCTAATTCTCATTTTCCTGACGAATACTCGCAGTGAACAGTCCAAAGAGCCTTTAACAAACCAACTGAACCCCGAAACCAACCAACCAAACCCCAGCCAAACCCCAGCTCATCAGCACAAATACACAATGCTTAGAAACTGGGGGGTTTTTTAACTGCTGGTACTTAAAATGATGGTCCTGTCAGCTCTTTTGTAACTAGTCTGCCAGTGGATGACTTAAAGTGCTGTGGGTTGTGTTGTATTAGGGATCTGGGTTTTTTTTTCTGCTATGTGGTTTTGTGACCATAATTGAGTCAGTCTGTTCCTATACACACCTGATCGCATGTATATTCTGTCTGAAATTGGATTTTCTTTCTCCCCTTCCCCTAACACAGGAAAGAGTTCTTCTGTGTGAGTTCTGTCCCGCTGCTATTTTCTCTCCTGTGATGTATTTACTAGATTTGTTCTCCATAGTAAGCTTGGCTATGAAAATTGTAAATCCCTGCTGCTAACAGGGCAGGTGTCAGAGCACCAACTGGGTAAGAGTAAACCAGAATATTTGTGGAGAGAACGGATAGAGGTTCATTTGTTCACTGCCTGTTAGTGCACTGACTGAAAGGATGGAGGAGCCTGTTTGTCCTACAAGCTGTTCCTGTCCTGCTCCTGTAACAGCTTTCAGAAAGGATGACCTTCCACTCAAGCTAAAAGCTCATCCAATTTAAAGAAGCAAATTTACTCATTTCAGTTGGAATATTGGTGCTTACATTTGAGTGGATGCTGTTCATAACTGTATTCCAGAACCCTGTGAGGTCTGGCCATGCTGGTCTGTGCTCTATGAGGCCAGGGCTGCCTTTTTAATCTGCACATTTTATTACCACACTGTTCTATGTTACAGGGTCTATGACACCACTTCTTTGTCACCCACGGTCACGGCTCTCAGCACTGTCAGGTAAGCTGCAGGCTGTTGTGTGCCCAAAGACCACGGGGTCAGTGGCAGGAGGGGACATGAGAGCAGACAAGTGCCCACACTGTTGTGTGACTGTTGAAATGTGCTTCTTTTCAGAACGCTTTCTCTTTGTGCATTTGTTTTAATATCAGAGGTTACTTCTTAATGGCATGGTTTGGGGTGGAGGCTCAAGGCTTGTGAAGCACTTTGTACTCCCGGAGGGTGAGTTCGGGCTGTGCACAAGGGGTGAACCAGCCCTTTGTGCAAGCAGGAGGTTGGCAGGGCTGGTTTGCCAAGGAACCGTTCGTAGTCTGTGGTTTATCAACACGCTTGATGCACATTTGGCCTATTTTTACTAAAATACAGAGCCATGAAGCAGAACTACTTAAACTGATAATCCCGTACGCTGGGGTGCCCTCAGCTTTATCTTCTTGCTCCACCATGTTTCTTTGTCCTGTCCCACCCATCACAGGGTGGTCATCACCAAAGGGACCAGAACAGCACGACCAGGGTTGAAGTGCTGATAGTTCAGGAGGTGGGAAGATGGGTTGAAGCAAGTGTGACATAAATGATGATACTTTCCAGTGCTGGATTCAATAAGAGGGACGTTTCTCTCTCTCTTTTTCTCCCTGGTTCTTTCTCTGAAGCCACAACAACCAAACGGGCCGCTGGCTGACCAGGTTCAGAGCAGTATGGGACCCCAAGCAGGAGCACTGCTTCGTGGTGGGCAGCATGGCACGGCCGAGGCAAATCGAAGTCTTCCAAGATACTGGAAAACTCTTGCACTCGTTTTTTAACCTCGACTGGCTTGGGTCCATCTGCTCCATCAACATCGTTCACCCCAGTAGGAACATCCTGGTGGGTGGCAACTCCAGTGGGCGCCTTCACGTGTTCAAAGAGTAGGAGCGTGCCTCAGGTGTTTGTATTGTCCTTTCTGCATTCCCTTGGTTTAAGCCCCATTCCGCTGCTCCCAAACCCTCAGGATTTTTCTCAGGACAAAAATGTATTTTAAAAGCTTTAAAATAAATTTTCTCAACTACTTTTGCCTTCTCTTCTGTAACTAGAAAACAAACTCAAGCAGTTGTGCTGTGGCCTCAGTTTGTACCAAAATGGGTGGGTTTTTTCCCCAATTTTTCACAAATGGAAACCGTGGATCAGTAATAGAATCCCAGAATCTCAATCTCCCCTCTGGCAGGCTCAAGCCATTCCCCTTGTCCTGTCCCTCCATCCCTTGTCCAAAGCCCCTCTCCAGGTTTCCTGGAGCCCCTTTAGGCGCTGGAGCTGCTCTAAGGTGTCCCCTTGAGGAGCCTTCTCTTCTCCAGCTGCCCCAGCCCAGCTCTCTCAGCCTGGCTCCAGAGCAGAGCTGTTCCAGCCCTCGCAGCAGCTCCGGGGCCTCCTCTGGCCTCATTCTGCAGCAATTGGGGCACTTTGCTTTGCTCACCAGGAGGCAGCTCACTGTAACCACTGCACAAATCCAATACCAACTCCGGCTTTCATGATATTTAAATATTTATTGAAATTTAAAAATACTTCTCATGGCACCAATGATATTATGCTAACTAAGATACTGAATATGTAGAAAAAGGTACATTTTGAAGGAAAAATGTAACTTACAGTATTTGGCACATGAAAGGTTAATTTCTAGATTTCTTTTTTCTTTTTGTATGAAAACTAAGAAATTCACATTTTCAGGTATTTTACTGTCTACTGCCTCAAGATGCAGTATGCTAGGAGGAGATCTTTATTTTCTGAGATAAGAACCTATGGAAACAACATTTTAATAGAAAGACAGGTAAAACTAACAGGTCAGGAAACAGCAGACAGAGGATGGACCGGACAGGGAAAATGGACAACGGGAGGTCACCACGTGTGGTGGGTCTGCAGTAAAGGCTGGGCGGAACCTGCAGAGGTAACCCAGGGCTGCGGCGCCGCAGGGAGCGAGGCCGGGGGCTCCAGGGCAGGCATGGAGCCTGCGCTGGGCTCGGCGAGGAGGGTGTCTCGCTGCGGACGGGGCTGTGCTGTCACGACATCACGCAGTACATCAGCAGGGAGGAGGAGGAGGAAGGAACACTGCATCTTAAACCCGGGG